TTGATAAAAGGTAACGCAAAATTTAATAGACAGCTTTTTCAGGTTAAAAAGCTTGTAGTAAAAATAGGTGTTCTTTCAATAAAAATCGAACTCACGTTCAACAAAATTACACAAAACTTACACTAAGAACTTAGTAGTTTTTAATAATCAATAGATCAATTGATTACTTACTAAGAATTGACGTATTTTTCAGAAAAAGCTAGTGATCAGCAAAAAAGTGAATTTTTCTCGAAAAACCTATTTTCTAAGAATTAAGATATATACAGGGTGTCTAGATAGTGACGAAACAGACATCAAAAATTGAGTGTGTCCATCGCGCTCTAATCAAATAAGCTGATTTTTTTCTGAGAATAGAAGACATTTCCAGATTTTTATTGGTTAATGAATAGCTTATTTATTTATATAAAAAACAGTATCACTGAACTCATACACTACATATCGCTAAATAACTAGTATATCTCATATATAATGCAACAAAACTAGTTCGAAAGAAATTCTTTTTCGTTATCTAAACAATCACGAAGACGTTGCTCAAGAGAACGGCATGCTTTGCGACACATATCGCTTGTCAATTGTTCGCAGACTTGTTCGATTCGATTTAGAAGCTCAAAAATGGTAGTGTATGGTTTCCTGAACACGGGATGTTTTTTTTTTAATTTGGAAGAAGGTTGTGCACCTGTTTTAGTCTTGAAAGAAATGAAAAGGATGAGAGATATAACAAAGAATAAGGTGTTTATATATGAATAAAAACCTGAAATTGTCCTCTATCCTCAGAGAAAAAATCAATCGATTTGATTAGAGCGCAGTGGAGATATCCAATTTTTAGTGTCTGTTTCGTGACTTTTTGAACATCCTGTATGTCTCAATAAAACATTGTTTCCATTGAAAAGCAAACATTTTGAAAAATTTTTAGTGGAAACTCATCCAATGATATGTTGTTTCTGATTATATAAAAAAGAATTTTTTTAAATTTCGTTTGTTCTTATCGACCTTCGAGCATTGATTTAGACAACTACATAGGTACTAGTCTTTTTCATTCCGTAAAGGCAACAAGAATTTCAACAAAACAGATTTTTCTTGCAATGATCGCTGTGTGAGATAATAACTACCATAGCTATCATGATTTTATGTATGAACAAACTTTTTTTGTTAAAGTTTTTTTACGAATGATTAATTGCTATTCAATCACATAAACAATGAATTCATGTATAAATTGTAGTGTAATGCTAGTATGTTTAGTCTTAAGTTAACTTTACTACTTTTAACATATTAAATAATAAGTATGTCGAAAGATGGTACACTCTGAATTAATATAAGGTGACAATCGATGGATGAACAGTTTACGAAAAGAAAAGAAATTGTTGGTTTTTCGCTTTGCGCTTCGTTGATTTCTAATATATTACATAGTTGATTTTTTATATATTGTTGACAATAATTAAGTACCATGATGGTAAATGTTGATAGAGCAATTAATATTTAACTATCACAGAAACAACAAACCATGATAGGAAGATTCTGTAAGGTATTTCTTTTATTTTCTTGTTGACTCGTTCTGAATCTATCATTTATATCATATTTTATACATGACAAAACTAGATGTCGGTAATTATCAATCTCAACTAAATGAAGGGTTTACTTGCAAATTATCATTCATCTACTATATAAACCAATAGAATATGATCCAATTGAAACTAATTACTTTCTTAATATACTTGAAACTCAAAGCAAAAACGGAATAAGAAGCATTTAAATAAAAATTTCTCAACTAGTTTTAAGATGTCTGCTGGTCCATCAGTTGGAAATAGTAATGCTCTAATAGTACCAATATATGATAAAATTCCTTTATCCCATTTACTTGATGCCGCTGTACAAAAAACTTATCATGAATTATACACAATGGCAGATGTGTATGTATCTTATTAATAACATTAATTATTTGTTATATAAATCTATTCTTTTTTCTGATTTAGTTTGCATGGGAAATCAATTTTGGAACGGTAGAAATAAGATTTTTCGAAAATAAAGATTGATTATACATGGATAAGTTTTTTTTTCCTTATTAGAAAAATAGAATTAATTAAATTTGCTTGTCGTGCTAGACAATTATTTATACGAATTTTAGCAGTTGTTAAATGGGCAGCAACAACAGGAAAAGTGACTGCATGCGAAGTAAATATTTTTTCTTTTCAAGAAAAAAATGAATAAAACAAATCTCCTTCTTTTTCATGAAGGATATACAAAATTTTCTTGAACTTCGTGCTCGATTAATACGTGAAACATCTGATTCATTAGCTCAACTTGCACGTGAAAAACTTCTTGAAGCTCGAGTACCTAATTTTCCCGTAACAGATACTATTGATGCAATGACACTTGGTTCTGTGAATTTTTTGCCTAAACGAATTGCAGACGTCATAACAACTTTTACACCTGCTACTGAAAGTGAACGTCAACAAATTTTACCACGTCTTCAACAAATTCTTGCAGCAAGAATATCAACATCGGAATTACCTATTCAATTTACTACTGTAATAATTAGTATGTCGACGAAAACAAAAAGAGATATTTGTTTATTAGATGATTGAATGTTTTTATAGAAAATGGACTAGTAACATTGACAGTTGATAGAGAATTTGAAGTTAAATTAGGAATTACAAATGATAATCTATCATCTCCATGGCGTCTTTATCAAACAAAATTATTTTTACAAGATCCAGAAGAACCAGGTAGGAAATTAAATAGATTTTATTTTTAATCCTT